CTCACCAACAAGCCTCATGCAGTAATGGCACCGCCAGTCGGGTGGGGAAAGTTAGAACTAAATCATAAGTGTAGCAGCCGTCAATTTAGCCTTTACGGCTTACTAATGTTCTAATTGTGCTGGTCAATCTGGGAGAATTATTTCGTTGAAACTTATTTTATGTTTTTGGTATTTTAAATGCATTCATTTTAAAAATAAAATAAAATATGAAAAGTGAACAAAAATGTATTAATAAAAATAAAAGTATTCTGTAAAATTTGGATTCAGTCAAAAGGCTACACTTAAGGACCTAGAAGGCCACATGTGGCCTCAATGCCACAGGTTCCACACCCCTTGTTTAGGCAGTTCTGAAAATTTAATTTCTTGTTAGATACTTAAAGAATTGCTTGCCTCTCTTCCAATATGACTTTGTATATCTATCTTCTGATGGAATTCTTTCATTTACTCAATCAACAATTTGCTTATTTATTCAACACACATTGCTTGTGTGCATCTCTTATGTTCAAAGCACTGTGCTGGCAATTAAGAGTTGACAGAGACAAATATAGCTCTTACCCTCTAGGAGCTTACAAATGGAGAAGATCCATTAAGTTTGATATTGAAAAGCAAAATGAAATTCAATGAAACTACCATAATTACGGCATGCTGATTGTCTAATTTTGACTTGGGAGGATTAGAGATGTTTTCTAAAAAAGGAAGCATGTAAGGTTTGTTTTAATAATGAGAAAAGGTTATGGAAGGCATTATGGTCAGATTATGAAGACACTGTTCTGCAATCCTGAGAAATCTAGGTGGACACAAATTTATAAGCATTGGAGAAAAGCACCTTATGTTTTTTACAAAAGGAGGTATTTGATGTTGTCTGGGTTTTAGATCACTCTTTGGAGCTGTGTGGAAGATGCATTAGAAAGGAAACTAGAGCCAAGACTAGTTAGGAAGCTGTTGTGATGATCCAGATGAAAGACAATGAAGGATTGTTTTCTTCTATCACTTGACTCTCAACTAAAATATAAGTCCCATGAAGGCAGAGCCTTTGCTCTATTCACTGATAAAGTCCCAGCACTCAGAACAGTGCCTGACTTACAGTAACTGTTCATATGTATTTGTTGAATAAATGAATAAATAAGTTAGTGAAAGAATAAATGAATGAATGAACTTAATGAGATAATGAAAATGCAGAGAAGAGGTCAGAAAGAGATATTTGCCTCAACGATGGAATTTTCTCCTTCTCTATTGACACACATTGTAGCTGTGTTTTCTTTTTCCAAATGTTGTCAGGAAAGGAAGTTTGTAGGACACACACACATATTTTGGTTGCAAAGCATGTGCACTTTTCACCACATCTTCTAAAACCAAGTGCTTGCTTGTTCTATGGTTTGAAAGTGTTCCCTCCAAAATCCAGGTGTTGGACCTTAATGGTCAATGCGATAGTATTAAGAGGTGGGGCCTTTAAGAAGTGATTAGGTCATGAAGTCTCCGCCCTCGTGAATGAGATTAAGGCCCTTATAAAAGAGGCATCACGCAGCATTCAGCTCACTTGTGGTTGCCCTTCTGCCTTCTGTGGGGTGAGGACGTGGCATCCTCCCCTCCCAAGAATGCAGCAACTAGATGTCTTGGAAACAGACAGCAGCCTTCACTAGACAAAGAGCCTTGATCTTGGACTTGCCAGCCTCCAGAACTGTAAGAAAATAAATTTCTCTTCTTTATAAGTTATCCAGCTTCAGGTATTTTATCATAGCAGCAGAAACTAAGACAGCTGGCAGGTAATGGCTATTTTCTTTTTTTTTTTTTATTTCGGCATATTATGGGGGTACAGATTTTAAGGTTTCAATAAATGCCCATTTCCCTCCTCTCCCCACAAGTCTGAGTCTCCATCATGACCATCCCCCAGATGGTGCACATCTCACTCATTATGTATGTATATACCCGTCCCCCTCCCCCCTCCCATCTGCCCAATACCCTATTACTGTAGTACCTATGTGACCACTTAGGTGCTGTTCAGTTAATACCAATTTGCTGGTGAGTATATGTAGTGCTTGTTTTTCCATTCTTGGGATACTTCACTTAGTAGTATGGGTTCCAGCTCTAACCAGGAAAATATAAGATGTGCTATATCACCATTGTTTCTTAGAGCTGAATAGTACTCCATGGTATACATATACCACATTTTATTAATCCATTCTTGGATTGATGGGCAGTTGGGCTGTTTCCACAGCCTTGCAATTATGAATTGTGCTGCTATAAACATTCGAGTGCAGGTGTCTTTTTTGTAGAGTGCCATTGGATCATTTGGGTAGATGCCCAGCAATGGGATTGCTGGATCAAATGGTAGATTCACTTGTATCGCTTTAAGGTATCTCCATATTGCTTTCCACAGAGGTTGAACTAGTTTGCAGTCCCACCAGCAGTGTAGGAGTGTTCCTCTCTCTCTGCATCCACGCCAGCATTTGTTATTTGGAGACTTTTTGATAAAGGCCATTCTCACAGGAGTTAAGTGATATCTCATTGTGGTTTTGATTTGCATTTCCCTGATGATTAGAGATGATGAGCATTTTTTCATATGTTTGTTGGCCATTCTTCTGTCTTCTTTAGAAAAGTTTCTGTTCAAGTCCTTTGGGTAATGGCTATTTTCAAAAAGTTATCACAGGCCGAGCATGGTGGCTCACGCCTCTAATTCTGGCACTCTGGGAGGCTGAGACGGGTGGATGGCTCAAGGTCAGGAGTTCAAAACCAGCCTGAGCAAGAGCGAGACCCTATCTCTACTAAAAATAGAAAGAAATTAATTGGACAACTAAAAATATATAGAAAAAAAATTAGCCAGGCATAGTGGCACATGCCTGTAGTCCCAGCTACTCGGGAGGCTGAGGCAGAAGGATTGCTTGAGCCCAGGAGTTTGAGGTTGCTGTGAGCTAGGCTGACGCCACAGCACTCTAGCCCAGGCAATGGAGTGAGACTGTGTCTCAAAAAAAAAAGTTATCTCAGTCCACATAACAATAAAGAAACTACATAGATGTATATCTGCTCTCACATTTATGGTAGTATGTGGTGATGACAATTTTAAAGATAACTGAAACATTATACAGATGGTCAATATTTCCTCAAATTTTTTTGGTGTCTGTAGAATGCATATAAATGACCCAGTAGGAAAAAAAATATGTTTAAATCAGTTTGAAAAACAATCTATTATATAATTATAAACAGGTTTATTCACCATGGGACTTCTCAGAACTCTTCATATATTTTCATCTGTGAATATCTAAAAGGCAAACGTGGCAAGCAGTGTTCCCGAATGGATTTGACTATGGAGCTCTCCGCCCCCCACCCCAACACACACACATATGCCTTCACGGTGCACTCACAAGAGCAGCATTTGATGAAACATTTGGGAAAACACCGGCCTAAACATACACTGAAATGCCAGCAGGACTAGCATAGTTCTTCTATATCTCACTCTGTTTAGAAGAGATTGCAAAAATGTCCTTGGGTTAGGAGCTTTGTAGACAAAATTTCCAACACCTGTCTTATGAGGAGAGAAGATAGTTTTTCATGCTCTGACAATGCTCTACTTTACCAACGTAGTTACACCTGAGTGAAAACCTGAAGCAAATAAAACTGAGAGCACAATATACTCATCAGGGGAAATGAGCCACTCAGTGAATACGCAATGCATCCTGGGGAGTGATGGTGATTAGGAAGCTGTGAAAACACCTGCCCAAGTCGTGTTTCTGAAGAGTTCTCACGTTCCCCACTTCTTTGGAAAGCTGAGATTACTTTTCCAAGCACAGACCTGTTGCCACATTGACCATCATTGGAGTGCCTGGTCCACATGGCAGGGACAGTGGATCAAAGGCCTCCTCCACCTTGTGCTCTCTACGAATACTGAACTCCTGGATGTAAGAGCAAGGTGCAAGGAGCCGCAGGGCCAGGCAGGGCCCAGGGGGTGATGTGACCACAGCACAGCTTCTGCCTCCAGGGTCTTTGGTCAACTTTTGGTAACAGGAGTGAAGTCTCTTCTTTGTGTCCCCAGTCTACCCATACAATCCTACCCATTTTGGTTCTGGGGCTTTTGAAATTCTTCTTGGGTCGGTAGCTCCACTGTCTATTTTTAATCAGTACCATTTCTTCCAGAAAGTCTTAGCTCCCGTTTTTACTTTCATGCCCTCAACTTTAAATACTAAATTTAGCTGGGCTTGGCGCCACGTGCCTGTAGTCCCAGCTACTCAGGAGGATGGCTTGAGTCCAGGAGTTTGAAGGTGTAGTGTGCTAGGATCATTCCTGTGAATAACCACTGCTCTCCAGACTGGGCAACATAGCAAGACCCCATTTCTCTAAAATAAACCTTAAAAAACTAAATTTAAGTGACCTTTTCCTAGACCTTATTTTTGCTTGTTTCACTCATTTCCACAATCCATTGTCTATTCTTTGTTCATTGTTTTACATTTAAAACACAAGTATGTATTAAATACCCCTGCCTTTGGTCATCATTTGTTATAAGTTGTCCTTCTCATCTAACAATATTCTCCACTTTACAATTGTTGCTAGTGTATTTGGGGAGTATTCTAATTCTTATTTCAGATTTTAATGGGATAAAACACCCCAATGTATGAAGGCCTATATCCTGCAAATGAGGCATGTGTAGAAATTTTAGTATATAAAATATGTCTGTATTAAGTTGGTTATAATTCAGGCAGTTTAGTGAGGCAACTAAGAGCCCAACCATCACAGCAGCCTGCCTGGGTCTCGAGCTTGTTAGCTGTGGTTCCGGACAAGTAACCAACCAGTCTTCCTGTCCCTCATTTTCTCATCTATAAACTGAGGAAAATAATTCTACCTATCTCATTTGGTTCTTAGTAAGGATTAATTGAATTCACAAGTCCAAAAACGTGAATGACAACACCCAGAGTATAGTCATATACTCATTACTTCCACTGTTAAAATAATGAAAACATCTTAGAATAAAGTGTGGAATATTTTTAAAAGTATTTCTTTTTCTCTTTAAGGTCCAGATTACATAAAGGACCATTTACCTAAAATTCACCAGCACACTTCCTACATAGGAGAAAAGCGTCCGGTGTTAGAAAAAACTGGAGATCTCAGGTATTTATGGAGGCCGGCCCCAGACAGAAGCATGCCAGCAAAATACAAACATGAGTATGTCGGTGGAATTGGCTGGGGAGTGCAAGAGTATAATTTCATCAACAAATCGAGGCTTGCGAGCGGCTTTCATGTCAAGGTATTGCTCTTAATCTATGCTCTGCATAATATATCGTTTTCTGACTTGAGTTCTTCCAAAGGAAATGGCAGGTGTTTGATCTCTCATTGAGAATTAATGGAGTTTGTGTTTTGCAGAAAGGCAAATGTGTGAATACATGTTCTTGCTCCCACACCTCCCCTTAGACCCCCTCAATACAAGAGAGCAGGGGGATGAAGAAAATGAAGTCATGGATAATGCAAAAGCATTTGTGTTTGGTGTTGGAATGCATTCATGCTCACATTTGTGCTTCCCCCATCCTAGCACTGCTCCGTGAGTGGGTGGTGTAAAGGGAGACGCCTGTGTGGGATGCAGTCCACGAAGCTCACATCTGCGTCTCAGATCTTTCAAATCCACCGTGTGGGTAATGCTTTTGTGTCAGGTAATTCAGGCTATGTTGTTACAGGGTTCTTAGAAAACTTGTCTTATTTCCTTTTGGTGATGGGGACGTAGGCACAAGCCCAACAGTCTCCTCTGAAACAGGAAAAACAGTACAAGTGTTTTTAGAAGTAAAATCTGAGAATTCAGATTTTTTTTTTTCCTGGTCTTTGCATTGTCTGAAAATGTATCAGTTATGCAATAACTGGATTTCCTCAAATTCTTAAGGTGGTATAGGACACTCTCATCTAGTAAAGGTTAACAGAAGAAAAAACCTTTTCTTGGCCCAAACTACAGCAGTCCAGGGGAATGGCTGGAAGCTCAGTCTTTGAGGTGGGACTCTGATTTAGGTCTAGCTCTGTGACCTTGGGCAGAGGGGTTCACCCCCTCTGCATCATCGTCCCCTCCTCTTCCATGTGGCAGTGTTTGGAGGTCCACTCTCCAGGATCACCTGAACTCCTATCCTGGTTCTGTCACCAGAACCAGGCGGCCTTGGTCAAGTTCTTTAACCCCTGTGCCTCAGTTTCTTCATTATGAGATTTTTAGTATCTATCTTATCGGCTTGTTGTAAACAGTAAACAAGTTAATAATTGTAAGGTGCTAGGAGCAGTGCCTAGCATGTAGCAAGCTCTGTGTGTGTTTAATATTGTGAGGATTAAATATGAGAACCAAAGGACACACTGTGACCCTTGCACATGGCTGACATCCAGACTTCAGCTATTAGCATTAACTGTTGTCGTTGTTTTATTTAATGTTACTCAGTATCAGTTAAACAGAAGGATTGCTCAGCTTCTTATGGTGTGTCCTGTTCCACTTGGGCAATAAAGGTGAACATCAGAAATTTGATTAGATATCAGACTGGCCACCAGGAAGAAGAGTACAACCCAAAGCGAAGCAGCTGGTTTGAATAGAGTCCAGAACTCTCGTTGCCGTGTTACTTCTCTTTGGGTGGTGCCCTGCCTTGGTACGCGGCCCTTGGTCTGTCAGGGCATCTTGAGTGTGTATAGCCTCTCTTCCTTCTTCTTTTGCTTGAGGACTCATTTTTCTGCTCAAATGAAGTGCAATCAAGCATTCCTTGGTCTTTAAAGCAAGCAGGGTATTCAAAAGAGATGACAGCCACGAGTTAGCCTTCTGGGAAGGTATTTATTCCATTCTTTTAGTTAGTATTTCGCACAGTGCTTTTCATCACTGCCCTGCTGGGCAGCCGTGTCCCCTTGGGCTCTGTGGGATTGAGTGAGAGCCATACAATGATTTTCTTCCCACACTGACAGCGCACTAAAAAACTTTTTATTTTTTTATTTTAAGAGATAGAGTCTCTCGCTCTTGCTCAGGCCGCTCTTGAACTCCTGAGCTCAAGTGATGCTCCCTCTTTGGCCTCCCAGAGTGCTAGGATTACAGGCATGAGCCATCGCACTCAGCCAAAAACTGGTCTTATTTGGAATATGTTGTGAGGGACGTTGCTTATCATCTGTATAATTTCTTGGCCCGGGCATTTTAACAGTAATTGTTTTCAAAGATCTACCTGTCTCAGATAGTAATCTTAAGCAGTACCTTAAAGAATTCCTTGGACTTAGAGCTTTATAATAAAAAGATTCACTGAGAACGACCATATATATTAGCAATGAGCCGCCTACAATTCACCTACCAGTTAAGACTTAGGTTTTGGCCAGGCACAGTGGCTCACACCTGTAATCCCAGCACTCTCGAGACCAGCCTGAGCAAGAGTGAGACCCCGTCTCTACATAGAAAAATCAGCTGGGGGCTGTGGCACACACATGTAGTCTCAGTTACTCGGGAGGCTGAGGCAGGAGGATTGCAATGAGCTACGATGATGCCACTGCACTCTACCTGGGGTGACAGAGGGAGACTGTCTCAGGGGAAAAAAAATACCCTAGGTTTTGTCAGTGAGGTTGTTCATCTTCCCTTCTACATCCAAGGCAGATCACAAAGTCATGTTTTGAGTCTACACTCAGACTTTGATTTCCAATCAACCCTGTGCTTCAGGAGGGTCCCTCCAATCACTCAGACTTATGTGAATTGACACTTGAGCTGATACATACACATGCACTTCATGCACAAAAACATGCACCTAATTATAAAGAATATACAAGAGTGGCAGCAATAACTCATGCTTTCCTCACAAGGGAGCTGGTAAATTTCTCAGTGAGTGTCACTTAGGGCAATGTCTCAATCCACTTCCTGTTCTTTCTCCAGTTCTTGCATATCTGTCTTTTCTTGAGACAAGATCTCACTCTGTTGCACAGGCTATAGTGTGGTGGTGCAACCTCAAACTCCCAGGCTCAAGCGATCCTCCTGCCTCAGCCTCCTGAGTAGCTGGGACTACAGGCATGAGCCACCCCACCTGGCTAATTTTTTAAAATATATTTTGTAGAGACAGGGTCTTGCTATGTTGCCCAGGCTGGTCTTGAACTCAAGCAATCTTCCTGCCTCAGCCTACCAAAGTGCTAGGATCACAGGTATGAGCCACCACACTCAGCCAGTTCTTATCTTTCTGTGGACCCCTTCCATGTGCCTTGCTCTTCCTGTGCCCCATGATAGTTCAAATCATAACAGTCACTTATTTCAGTCTAACTGCAGAGACTCCTCAGTGTCTCTCACTGCAATTGCTCAAAATTTAGATTTTTAAGCACAAACTTTCACCTACTGGATTTTTATGGCTCTAACAGCTGCTCTTCCTAATTTACTGCTCCAGGTTTATATAAGACTGGAGGCTGAGGAACTCGGGCACCTCCCATAGACTCTTGGTAAAATGCCTGGGGCAGCTGCCTTCTGCCTGGGAAAGCTCTCTCCTATTTGGGGCACTGGGAGGGGTTCTATAGATCATCTGGGTTTTAGCAGGAAGATAATAACTTCCATGCTGAGTGACACCTGAAAAATTTCCCCCACATTGCAGAGGTCAGTAAAAATCACAAGATCAGGTTTCTCTTCTGGATTTTTTTTTTAATGTTTAGCTCTTTTCTACTCACTTTTATGTGGGTTACACATGCCATAATACTACATGTATATAAAAACCAGGAAAAATCATTACTCTTGTTGTTGTTTCAGATTTAAGAGCAGCACATTCTTTAAAAAAAAAAAAAGAATGGATTTGGTGTCTGCCAAACTATGTTGTTTCTGCAAGGATATATGGAGACAATTGAAACAGTTCCTTTGGTTTCCATCCCATGCTAAACCTAGGAGCTTTTCTAACTGCTTCTGGTCGTGTCTCCCCTTCCCCTGGCCTTCGTTTAAACCAAACCTTAACGGTCAGCTGGCCACATTCTGCTCCTGTGCTCTGACCTTGTGACAAGATGATTTAAGTCATTTGGTTTTCCCACAGATCACAATGTTGTGCTGGACTTGATGACTCACTTTTCTCATTGGTGTGAGCCCAAGGACAATATTAAACCAATTCATCATAATATAACTAATATATAATTTTAAAAAATCTATATAAGATTATAAGGAGAACCATGGAAACCCATCAATATATTATATTTACATGTGATACAATATAATGGAAACTAACATTTTTGAGGCTTTGCAATCTCTGCCTCATTTTTTAACTGCCACAAATTTTGCCATTGTGAAATAGAGAGGTAGACAGTTTTATGGACATTTGAGCAGACTTCTGATGAGATGTTGAATTTCTTGATGGCTGTGAAATAAATTCATCGAGGGTTGGTTGTTTTATTAAACAGTTTCCTTGCTATGCATTTATTTAGAGAAGACAAACATAAAAAGAGCTCCATTGACTTATTAAAATAAGGCTGGTACTGTGATTATTTTACAGTGGAGGAAACTGGAGTGTCAACAGGTGAGGTTCCTTGCCTGAGGCCACACAGCTAGCCATGGCAGAGTCAAGATTTCAACCCAGGCTGTGTGAATTCAGGGACTGGGGGGGGGGGGGACAGGTTGTATGAAGTGAAATGATAGACAATGAGATCAGAACATTATGAACTGGAGCCAGTATATAAAGTGCATAGCTGTGTTATTTTTCTGTAAGGTGGTGTCAGTTTGGGGTCAATTCCAGCTATCTTCTCAGAGAAGGTAGACTCCCCTTTCTTCACAGTGCTCTCAATTTTTTCCCAGCTTCCCACTTTGCATCATTTGCATATAGTGTACTTCATTTATAATATTAAAATAAATTTAGTAGATGCCACCCACCTATTTGACTTAATAAGAAATAGCTTGGGTAATAGTTATTTTTGAATTTTTATTTGGTAAGTGCTTTGTCACCTTTCAAAACATATCATCAAATACAATCCTTGCCCCTGGCTGGGAGAAAGAAGACAGTGAGGTCTCACCAAGCCGAACCTTCTTTCTTTGTTCCAGCCTCACTCTGTGCATTCTTCTAAACTGTCTACTCTTACACAACAGTGTCCTCCCGTTTTTAAATTCCTTTGGAAAAAGTGTGTAGCCATCACGGAGTAGATAGGTATGGAGGCCACCAAGATACATATTTCAGAATTTCTGTGTTTTGTTTTTTTTTAATTCTCCAAATCCTCATTTACCTTTGGGTTCATTTAGAGCAATTGTAAAAACAGCCACCAATGTTGAGTCTCATTAAAATTTCTAATCTCCAGATGTTATCAATATGGAAG